AAGGAGAGACTGCATGGGAAATGCACTGTGTCCTGATGGCTGGAGGGGTTGCGCTTTGCTACCCTAGTTGTGCTGCTGGGAGTACCTTCCAGAATGGAGGGGGCATAGAGAGGCCAGCAGAGCAAGTGTCTGTGTGTCCTGGCAGTAACATATTAGGTGGCTTCGATTTTGAATACCCAAACTGATTTCTGCAGTGGCCAATTGTTTAGTGTCTGTCTGAAAAAACCACACAGACTGTAAACTCATTATAAACAGTATCCATGCTTAGTACCAGTATGACCTTGTAAAGGAATGGTTATATATCAGATACTCAGTATTTCTGAGTCTTAGGATGAAAACTAGAGCTAATACATGGGTTGTACTGTTGGCTATAGGCACTGAGTATGTACTTTTTTCCATATGTATACATGAAAAGAGAAATGAATGTTGTTTTAGGTAAATGTTTTAGGGTAAATGCTACCTACTGGTTACCACTGAAGCCTCAGTTTGCTCAGAAATGTGGGTAATAGCAGTATATACCTTAAGGGTATATATGTGTGTATGTGTTTAATAATGTATGTTAAAATATACAGTAGTCTTGGGCACATATTTAGAAAAGGGAATATTGGTGTTGAATAAATAATAATGTATTTTTTAAATAGTGATATTAATATGCTGGTACATTGATCTAATTTGATGGCTTTCACTATTTTTCATTTTGTTATTCATATTGGTACATATAATATGGGTACTATGTACACAGTTTTGGCATAGTGCAAGACTTTATTTGTCTAAAGTTTTCATTGTCCAGGTCTTTAAAATGCTTGGTTGAGACAACCAAAAAATGATTATAGCTGTGATTATTTGGGATCACATGTTGTACTGTGAGCCCTGAGTAGCCACCTAGTACGAAGAAGGACTGTCCTCTGTAGAAACATGCAGTAAGTAATTAACTTTGCAGTTATTTCCAATTTGTCTTGTAGCCAATTTATCTAAATTGTCTTGAGAAGCCTATTGATGATTTGTTTGCAATTTCATTTATAACCTTTGCATCTGGAAGGTATGAGGAGGGACAGGTTTGGGCAGGTCGGACTCCTAAAGGACTGTGGCAGGCCCTAAAATGCCTGCAGTGTAGAGGCAACTCAGATTCATGCATAATTTTCTTGGACCTCTTCTGTGATCTCTCAGCCTGAGAACCACATGGCTGAGTGCTAACAGCCCCCAAGTATTTTCCTGTATTTTTCTTTCTTCATCTAGGTCATAACACCCTTTAGTGCAGGGACCTTATATTATTTTGTTTCTACTGCTATTATACTGGCTTCTGCTTTGGGAGTACCAGATTCTTGATATATTTAGCGAAGGGTCCCCTCCAGACTCATGGACTTGAAAAGCAGAGTGCCATTCTGCTCTTTGTCCTCCAGAGAGTTGCTCTGGTGGCTGTAAGCCAGCAGTATCGTTAACCTGACAGCATGTTCAGGCTACAGGCAAAACTCTCTTTGGCAGCAGAACAGTCTGTGTTTTCCATCTTGATAGGCACATCAACAGTATTAATAATCATAAAGGTTTAGCAAATGCCAGTTAATATTATTGTATGCCTAGGACTATTCTAAATTATTTAGATACAGTTTAATTGATTAAAACGACACTTTATTTAAGTGCAGATCTGTTGCTTATGTGGTCATGTTACCCAGCTCCTGTGCCTCAGTTTCCTCTTCTGTGAAACACTCATGATAGGATTGACTTGAGGACTGAGTGAGGTATTACCACAGTACTGCCTCATTCACTCCTTATAAATCTTTTATTGGAGCTTGGCATATGATGAGAACTCACTCTTTAGAGTGGTAGTGAGAATAGTAGCCCACTTTTCAAAATGAAGAAACTGAGGCTTACCCGTCCCTTCAGCAGACGTGTGTTGTCATCTGAGTGTTGGAGCTCACCCAGGATAACCCATCTCATGGGGGCAGAGCCTGGACTGGAGCACAGTGTGGTCTGAGTGCTGTGGTCTGAACTGCCTTTGGCTACTGCTTCCACATGAGCTGAGAGTCTGTCTGCTGGTTACAGTCTGGTGTCTCTTTGGGGAAGACCAGGAAGTAAAGTGGCTCCAGCCTGGGTGCAGGGCATGATGCACTGAGACAGCCATTTATCTACTGCAAATAGTATAGTAAACAAATAACAAATTTATATAATTTTACCTACTCAACTACCCACAAAAAGGGGTCACTAAGCAAATAGTGAGTATACTCAGAACTTTAAAAAGAGCATGGTTGATCGCATGCAGACATGTTTCCAGGTCAGAGCTCTGCTACCTACTGGTTACCACTGAAGCCTCAGTTTGCTCAGAAATGGGGGTAATAGCAGTATATACTTTAAGGTTTTGTGTGTGTGTGTGTGTCTAATGTATGTTAAAATGTACAGTAGTCTTGGGCATATATTAAGCTATCAATATACAGATACAGTAATACTAAAACAAGTATTTAGTATTAAGGTTAGAGGGACAGTTTGTGCCATATGAGTTCTATCTAGTACATTAGAACAAATCATATAAGGCAGTACCTTCTTCCAAAATGGTAAAAATTATTATTAGAAATGTCCTTATAAGAAAAATTATGGAATCACTGATATAAATGATTTACTGTGATATTTTATACCAAGTGAAACTTTAATAGTCCTCTTCAAATGCATTTTAATATAAAATTTTTTCAAGTTTAATAACATTAATGAAAGGTAAATTATGCTAATTAGGTATGAGATGGGGAATAAACATTCTGTTCTGCTCAAATTTGGCATAGAAGGAGGTAGAATGTTTGGAGGTCATTGCCAGGTCAGACAGGTATCTTGGTTAGCCACAGCCTGCAGCAGAAGGTTTGAGTCCTTTTTCTGTTCACCTCGATGCTTTCCCTGTGGTCCACTGCATCTAGACTTTAACCACAGCGTCATGGCTTCTCTGTTTTCCCTCCTCTGCCTCAGATGGTCACAAGTGTAGGAACTGCAGTTGGCCCTTGCATATGTGTAAATGCAAAACTTCGCACCCAAGGAAGGGGGAGCAAACTATGTATTTCCATCCTGCCTACACTCTGGGGCCTGAAGAGGTTGAGGTTTGAATAACCTCCTGCAGCTGGCTGGGTCAGAAGAGGGAGGATCAGCCACCCTCATCATCTCTGGATCTGTTCAGCATCCCCTCCGGCATTCCTTTGCTTGGTTCAAATGTTGGGTTCCTGATAAGCAACCCTAGCACCTCAGCAAGTCACGTGGATGAAGGAGGTCTAGAGATGCAAGGCACCTCTAAAGACCACCCAATCTAAACCTCTCATTTTACTTTGAGGGAAGGTAGTGAGCACCTGGGGAAGTAAGAGGCTTGCCTCAGTCACACTGATAACTTTTTGCCAGTCAGTGCTCAAAACCCAGTCTTTTTGCTGTGAGTCTCAGACTTTCTGCCCTAAACCAAATTACCGTCCAGGCCTGTGCACAGAGCTCCCAGCTGATTTCACCTCACTTCTACCTTACCTTTATCTTGCCTTTACCACCACTCCTTTCATTGTGCTTTGAGGGGGTTTCGTGGGTTTTCCAAGTTTTTCTTAGTTTAGAGGCATACAAAGAACAAATGGCCATTCTTGTCTATTCTATCTTAAAAATTTCTGAGTACAGGGCTAGGCATGATATTTTTTGTTCTTAAAGGAAGTGAAACCCGAAGATATCCAGAAAGGAAGAGAAGCAGGCATTCTGAAAGTGGCACAAACACCACTAAACATTAATTCTATGTAGACTTCCTTCTCCCGCTCAGATCGCTGAGTCCAGTCAGTCCTCTTGGCACACTATTGCTGGCTAGGAAAATTTCCTCTCAGTCTCTTCACAAAATAGTTAGGATTTTCTGACTAATTAACTTTTTTTTTTTTTTTTTTACTAGACAACACCTCTAAACAGGGTATTCAGCAATCTAACTACCTCTCTAGCCCCCTTCACCATACCTAAAATGCCTTTCAAGGAGGTGTTAGATAAAACAGTCTTAGGAAAGGGTTTGCTCGATGGACGAAGGGAAAACATCTTGATTCCTAACTTCAGAGAGGAAAGGCTGTTAACCACGAACTGGCAGAAATAATGAGATGTAAAATAAGTGTTGTCTGGGTCCACGCCATATATTTTTGGAAAAATAGAACCAAACTTTGGTAGTAAATTGGGGTTTCTAATTAGAATTATGAAAGAAAACTGTTGTTAAAGATGTTATGATATCTAATAAGAAAGCAGATTCAACTTACAAATTTAAAATTTTATAGTAGGTAAGTCTGAACCTAATCAATGAAAAAGTCATTCCCCTTCAGGCTCACCTATTTTTCAAAGTCTTTATTAGAAGAGTTAAGGCTCCATGCATACTTCTTGTTTTCCTCAGTGAAGCCAAAACTTCCCTAACTGTTGGAATGTGGAACGGAGCTAAGCTGTTCCCAAGCTGTTTGTCAGGAGCCAGGCTGTTTTCTCTCTGCCTTTCCTGACATGTTTTAACACGATCTCATAAGGAACCAGAAAGAGGATCACCTTATTCTTTGTGGTACAATGAGAAGATTGAGATTCTTTCATTAAAATGAATTAATTAGGACAGAAAGTCATCTTTTTTCTTTTGGTCTCTCCTTTAAGAAAATGTGAATGAAACATTATGAAACAAATTTAAGTTTTGAGTCTTGGAACTTAGGATTTTACCCATTTAATAAAGTATATGTGATTAAAAAATTTTTCACTTAAATAGAAATTATTTCCAAAACACTGTTTCTACTTTTGAAGGCACGATAATGCGCTTTACATTTTCTGCCTGTCTGAGTTGGAAACAGTGAAGCTCCGTAAAGACGGATGGCCTGTTTTGGAAAGTGGTGCCTCCCAAAGAGGACTTACATATCTCATTCAGTTAACATTCCAATTTCTACTTTTCTGTAGATCTCAGATTAAAGCAAAAGTATAATTATGGTGTTAATCAGTGCTGTGTCCAATCAACCATGGCTTTTAAGAAAATTTTAAAAAAGAACTTTTCCATTTACCTTTCATTGCGGTAGCTGGCTGTCCATTCACCTGATACGGGTGTCTTCAAGTTGAAACAGGCTTCTCAACTCTAATTACGAATAAGTTTTGAGACTTAAGGTTGGCACGGAAGTGGGTTTTCTGGGAAAGCATGAAAAATGAGCATTTTTCTCCTTTGCCAGAGAAGGTAGGTACTTCCCTACCCCCTTGAGATTGTCCTTTGAGACACGCTTTCAAATTCTCCTGCTCGTGAGCAAGTGGAGCAACTTGCTCTCTTGCTGATATATGACTCACATCTGAGAGTAAGTGAGCTTTGTAGACTGGGGAAGAGCATTTCCTGAACCTGCAGGAATCAGACAGTGATTCACCTGAAGAGAGAACACAGAGGGCTGGAACACAGAAAGCTGGAGAACTCTTTAAGGAGGAGGGGATGAAGTCTCAGACCCAATGTTTGGATTTTTTTGGGCCTCTTATTGCTAATTAGAAAATATGCACTTACAGTCTTTCTGGTAATTAAACTTAGGATTAAAAAGAATTGTAATATACTTTATGAATGGCAGATCCTTTAAAAATGTTATTCTACATTAAAGACTAAAATTGAAATGTATTTATACTAGTGATTGATAACTTTGGAAACGTGTTGTCTCATTCAAGAACCTGGTAAAATCTATAGACCTATTTTCACATATACACAAATATAAATGTTTAAAACATTTTGAAGTTATTTAGGGAGTGAGTTTGCCTAATCCCTTGAATTCCATTTAAGCAAAGACAACTCTTACTCTTTTTAAAATGCTTCCTGCAATGATAAATGTATACAATCAAATCACTTTTCTTATTTGTAATTAATTTTAGGACTTTTGGGTAAAAATCTCCAAAAGATGCCAAGGTTTCCATGAATGCAACATTTGAACAAATAAGTAAAAAAAATTAAAATTTCACCAAGTGGAATCAAAACCTGTTGCTATCATGGATGAAGAGAAATGAGGTGGAACCTTCTTTGAAGTTAGTAAATTAATAATAGGTATTATTCAGTGTTTACTCATGCCTTATGGAAAAAAAGTTTAAGTACTAGTTGGTTTTCTTTCTGTGTTGGTTCCAAAAAAGAACTGTTTAATTTAAATTCCAATAGTTGAATGTCAACATTAGGTTTCTTCTAGTGTCTTTTCCTAAACAAACAAAAAGAGACAACTGCAATCTCAGTGGTTTTCCATTCCATTCTATTTCTAGTGGATTAAGTGTGTTATGGGTGAGTAGGTAGCCCTAGGGAAAGTCTTTGAGCAAAAATTAGCCAACTTAATAATGGCTCAATCTTATAAGAACTTGCCAGATTTGCAAACGATCCTTTATTTAGGGTTGATTTTACTTTGTGCCATTTTGTACTTCTTCCCCTTTGAATTTTGCTTTTTGCATTTGAAGCCATATCACTGAATCTTGTGGGGGAAGTTTCTGCCATACAGACCTTAGTTTGATGGACTTGTCCTTCTTGGGTTGAGTTTATTGTCATTGGTCACTGTGATCCATAATAATAAAATTATGTACTGCTCGTAATATGAAATCTAACTGCCAGAACAACCAATTGCCAAATCTTAAAAGCATTAATTCAAAAAGGTTAACATCCCTTGTAGGTGCCTTAAAAGTATGTTGAGCAAAAACCTCACCAAGTTTTGAGGATCAGCATTCCAAATTGCCAGTGGTGTATTTGAAATCATGTTAGGGAGCTTATTTGGACAAATATTTCACAATCTTCTGTTAAAGGAATAAAGACAGTTCTGTTATCTATCTTAAATTTTAATACCCTTATTACCTGGATTGACTCTGTTCTATTAGGGTGGACTAACTTAATCCTCATTTTTTTATGTTAAAGAAAATCCCTGTCCTTTGTATAGAGCTGCTGATAATGCTGTTGATACTCTTTTCTGTTTTGAATTTGAAAGGAAAATATCTTAATAATTCAGGGTTATATTACCTGGTTTTTAGTACCTTCTTTAAAAATTACTGAAAAAGGCCTTTTTAAGTTTGAAGAAGAGTGTTGAGTCTTTCCTGTAAAGTGAAGCATCTTGACTTTGTGGGTGTCCTGTTTTATAGAGATCTCAGAGCCTTCAGTGGCCCTTTGCCCCTCCTCCTGAGGGTGGGCTGGGGACTGAATAGGCTTTTCCTTTCTTTAGTAACAGAACAGTCAGATTGTCCCATTTAAAACCATCTTTGACAGGTGATGCGAATTAAGTCTAGTAATGAAAAAGTTAACAGGAGGCAGCCTTTCTGCATTCATCTTAAAGTGTAGTATGCCAATCTCAAGTTGGGACCTGTTAAAGCTGCTCTTACTTAACATTCAAAAAGGGAAGTAGTACATGTTTAGTCATGAAGAGAGTGTAAGGCTTTGATGAGAAGAGCAGCTAAAAACTAGCCCATAACTTTATTATTGTTCAATTCACCGAAAAGTTAACCTGCACAATTTTTTTCTGCTGATTTTTATAGCAAGTCTCACATTTCATAAAAGCCACAAGAGACTTTATAACAATAATTATCTTGCTGCTTCGTTGGAAGATCCTATTAAATGCAGAGAAGCTCTTTTAATAATATTGTTTAGCCATTACAAACCCCAAATTTAATTTGAATGCAGGTCGATGTCCTGGGATATGTGTGTTTCTCTACCACCACAATGTTTAAAAAATGTTTCTTTCGTTTTTTTACTGTGGGTGATTTTTTTCTTCTAATAATATTTTTAAAAATGTTAAACCTACAGACAAGTTGAAATAATAGTTCAACTAGATTTCATCTAGATTTACAAATTGTTAGCATTTTTCAGATACTTCCCCTCCCCCACATTTTTGGGGGACCTGTTTGAAGTTGTAGACATTGTGACAAAAGCTTTATTATTCTTAAATGCTTCAGCTTGGATTTCATGAGGAAGATACTCTCCTACCTAATCACAATGGTATTATCAGTCAAAAGATCGATGTTGAAACAACAGCATTTTAAAATTTTCAGTGGGCATTGACATTTTTACAATTTCCAGTAATGTCCTTTAAATCTGCTTGATTTGGAATCCAGTCTATGGTCACATATTACATTTGACTTTACTGTCTTTTTAGACTCTTATTCTTTAGAACAATTGCTCTGCTTTCCTACTTCTTCTTTAATTTGCCTGGCTTTTGAAAATTGGTTAGCTCTGTATTTGCTAGGTCTGTCCTGCGGGTCGTGTAATAAGGGGATGCTTCAGAATGTTTCTGAGGCAGTTTGAACATATCGGGCTGAAGTCTATGCTGGGGTTTGGCATTTTGAAGTCCAATAGGAACATCTATAATATTGTTTTGGGCATAGACCTGGTTCATGGGTCACGAATCACAAGGCAGTAGATACAAACTCACTTTTTTTTTTTTTTTGCGGGAGTGGGTGGGTGTTGGTATTGGATGACTCATTGAACTTCCCTTGGCTTCAGTTCTATGAAATGAAGACTCTGATTTAGTCACATAACTTTAGATGAGAATCCCCATAACCTTAAAGATTTTTCAAAATATATTCTCAAAAGAGACAGGTGCACTTAAGGAGAGAATGTGTTTCTAAGATCCTATAAGGAATGAAAATTAGGTAACATTATTGATAAGTCTTTATAAATCCTGGAATGAATACTTTACCTTATTCCTACTTCCCCCTTTTAGTGTGAGAAATTGGCAAATGTATTACCAAGGCGTATCTTGATCTTCTAGTTTTATCTAGACTGCCTTGCATAAGACTTTTTCCTCTTCCTTCCCTTCATTGTTTGGCTTCTCTGCATTGGCATGGACCTGGGCACAGTATCCCCTCTTCCAGATGTAATCTCAGTTTTCGCTATCTCTATGATCTCAGATTTATCTTTTCTTCTTTAAGGAAAATGTCCATTTAAGAGTGTCCTAGTCCTTTGTAGGACACTAGTTCACTATTTTAAAGCAGAGACAAACAGGGATCTAACTGAACATACCCCTAGTTGATCTGTCTTGAATGCCCATGTCTTTTGCATATACCCAGAATTTAAAACAAGGATTGTAGTAAAATCTTCACCAGATCTTACTATTCCATCTCTGTACACAAAAGTCACTCTAATTGTGGCTCATATCCAGTAGCTGAGAATTTGTGCCGGGTATAATGATTACAAAGCTTTTAATGTTACCTTGCTGAGATTGGTATCCTTAGGTCCCCATGCTTGAATTACTGTGTTTAATCTGACATTTGAAATGATTTGTATCTATTAGGTTTGCTTTAAATAAAGCACTTACCTTTTTCTGGTATGAGAACTTCATGTGTAATGGTTGATTAAAGGGAGGGATGCTTAGGAGATTGAGTCTGGAGATATGCCTGCATTTTACGCCAGCTCTACTGATACGCTGTTCTGTGCTGGGCTCCCTGATCCATCTCCTTACTTTGAAAATCTTGTTGGTGACTGGTAGTGTTGGGCCCTGACGACAGTACAGTAACTAGGGTCTTATAAACCCGAATGTAGATTTAAGCTTCTTCACTTAGTAGCTTATTTTTTTTTTAATTTTTGTTCAAGTATCATTGATATACATGCTTATGAAGGTTTCAGAGGAAAAACACTGGGGTTACTACATTCACCCATATTAGCAAGGGCCCCCCCATACCTCATTGAAGTCACTGTCCATCAGTGTAGTAAGATGCCACAGAGTCACTACTTGTCTTCTCTGTGCTACACTGTATTCCCCATGACCCCCCACATACCATGTGTACTAATCATAATACCCCTCAATCCCCTTCTCCTTCCCTCCACACCTGCCCTCCATACCCCTCCCCTTTGGGATCCGCTAGTCCCTTCTTATAGTTTGTGAATCTGTTGCTGTTTTGTTACTTCAGTTTTTCTTTGTTCTTACACTCCACAAATGAGGGAAATCATTTGGCACTTGTCTTTCTCCGCCTGGCTTAGTTCACTGAGCATAATACCCTATAGCTCCATCCATGTTGTTGTAAATGGTAGGGTTTGTTTTTTTCTCATGACTGAATAGTATTCTACCATGTATATGTACCTCACCTTCTTTATTCATTCATCTACTGATGGACACTTAGGTTATTTCCATATCTTGGCTATTGTAAATAGTATTACAATAAACATAGGGGTGCATATGTCTTTGAATCTGAGAACCTGTTTTCTTTGGGTAAATTCCTAGGAGTGGAATTCCTGGGTTAAATGGTATTTCTATTTTTAGTTTTTTGAGGAACCTCCATATTGCTTTCCACAAGGTTGAACTAGTTTACATTCCCACCAGCAGTGTAGGAGGATTCCCCTTTCT